GGAGCATGCCCTCTTTTTGCACGAAAGGTCCGCGAATAGACACTGCCCTGACTAAAGCCGAACTCCTCTCATGGAATCTAACAATTATATTTTTGTTTATCATCATTAAATTTCACTAATAAATCCATACACAATAATTATTAATAGAATGAAATTTTATATTTTTAAAATAAACCTACAAATGAAATCATATTTTCCATCTATGTGGTGGATAAGTAGCTCAACCATTGGGGTCAAATGAATAATTCCATGATGTCATAAATAAATAATACAAACTTAAAAATATAAAAAATAAAGAAATTTTAAAAAGTCATGTTTCTATTATTATATATTTTTCATATTAAAAAATAAGTATGATAAGATAGACAATTTTATTAATAATGGACATGGAATTCACAACTTAAAACCAATGGGAAATGAAACCATTTTCCTATCTAGGGGGTGAGTTAGTGGTTCAACCTTTTAGGTCAAATAGGTTAACCCGTAATGTATAATTAAAAGTATAATTTTTAAAATAGAATAATACAAAAAATATGAAACAATTTTGGGCACATCTATAATTATATATATTAATCATATAAACAAAAATAAGTATGATAAACAATAATTAATTAATTATTTTATCAATAATACAAATGAAATGCAAAATTTAAAACGAGTTTGAAAATGAAAACCATTTTCATATCTAGGTCAAATGGGTCATCTATGATGTCATGAGTAAGTAATAAATATTAAAAATATATATAAAAACTCAAAGAAAAATGTAAGTTTTGTATATATATTCATTATATTAAACCAAAATAAATGTGAAAATAAAAATTACTTTTATTAATGATGAAAATGGAGAGTAGCATTTAAAATCAATTAAAAAGGCAAAATAGTTTTTTCCATCCAAATTGAGGGTTAGTGGTTCAATTGTCCATATCAAATGGATTAACACATGATGTTATAATTAAATAATAAAATACATAAAATTCTATAAAATATAAAAAATTGTATATAAATTTGGGCACATTCTATAATATTATATATTTATCATATAGAAAAAGTGTGATAAATGAGAGTTATTTTCATTAATGATGGAAATGGAATGAAAATTAAGAGAGTTTATTAATGTCTAACACATAACCCCACTAAATATGTCAAATGGTTCAATGATTTAATTATCTATGCTAGTAGGCCAGTGGTTTAGTGGTAAATATACCTACAATCTTGAATTAGGTGGTTGATTGATCAATCAAATAAATTGATTTGACTACAACATTAAAAACTAATATTCAAACAATATATTAGAATTTCATTTTCTCATAGTAAGTAAATGAATTTTATTATGTCATAATTAAATAATATAAAATAAAAATATAGAATTTTTTATAAATTTTATAAAAAGTTTTGAACATGCATTAATATTATATATTCATCATATTGAACAAAAAATATGTTTGAAAAATGAGAATTATTGTTACTAAAAATAAAAATGGCTAAAAATAAAAAAGGCATTAATATATTAACCATAATTCATTTTCTTGGTTAAATAGGTTAGTGGTTCAACCAATAAGATCATTTGGTTGTTAATCAAGTCAATGATTTTTTTTGCAATAAAGTGGTTTAGGTTAAAATATATTAAAAAACTGTGTCCAATTGACAAATTAAAAAATCCAACTTTATGGTTCAACCACATCTTGAAAATATAAAAAAAAAACTATAAGAACATTTGAAATTGGGTCTTTGAGTTGAAAGATTACATGTGCATTAGTATATCATGCTTTGATAACTTTTCTTTGTTCCATGAATTCTAATAAAATTATTAAAATATTATTATCGTCGTCATTATTTGAAACCGTCATGTGTATATGTTTACTAGTATTTTAAAAAGTATAAAATATGCAAAAGGCCAAAAACACAAAGTATCAAAAGTTAGTTTCATGTTTTTCGTATTTGTATTTATTGTACTTTTATTTCGTTCTTTTTAAAAGTAAAATCTATATCAAATATAAAAATGGTGATTTTTGTACTTTTGCACTATTAAAAGTATGAAAATATTTTTAAAAAAGTACGATCAAACATGGTCTTGAATTGCATTTTGATAAAATTTTCCTTTTTTATTTTTCAAAGTATAAAAGAATGAAACATGTTATCCTTTTTAAATACTATATACTTTTGTAATTTGGGCTTAATGAATATTATTTTCAAAACAAAGTTTTAAAAGTAAAATCATAAATAAGTGTTTGGCACAATATCTTATCATCATATGGAACAATTATATATGTCTCAAATTATTAATTGTTTATCAAACAAAACTTGTTATTTGTTCAAATTTATAATACCAAATTTTTACTTCACTTAATATCATATATTTTACTATGTGTATTTTGTTAAATGTTACAAAATTTTTCACAATATATATTATATCATAAATTTGGCACATGTCACAAATTCTTTCACATGGCATATATTTAGTCATGTGTCATAAATTTTAACACATGACATACATACCACATGGAATATTTTTGTCATATATCATATATTTTATTATGTGTATTTTGTTACATGTTACAAATTTTTTCACAACATATATCATAAATTTTGATACATGATATATATTTTTTTGTATTACAAATTTTGCCATATGGTATATAGTTTACCATATGTCACAAATTCATTGCATAGCATATATTTAGTCATGTGTCATAAATTTTGACACATGACATATATTTTGCTATGTGTCATATATTTATGTGAATCAAATATGGCATATATTTTTTCATGTGTCACAAATTTTTCATATATGCAGTTATCGTGTTTATAACACAATTGATAAATTGTTTAAAAAGTGATATAATATGTTCGATACCGGGCATATTGTATCAATATCAACCTTACTTGACATGCAATACACCACGATTAGAGGTATATCCTGCCAGTCATGCGTATCAGGTCAATATATGTGTGTATCAATCCGATACAATGCGATATGTACCGATACACTATGGGTTTTTACTAAAAATTGAATTTGATGCTATAACAACTCAAACTTGAGTTTTTAACACAACACATGCTTGTGCTTTAAATCAACTCCTAAACCATTGAACCAACTTAATTCTTGTGTTTATAATTGAAATACAATAACTTTTATTAAATATTATGTCTAAATATTACATGTAATCCAAACAAATAATCCATATTTTTCTTTAACAATTTCAACTAAAAATTAAAAAGAATAATATTTAAAATTGATATTTTGTAAACTATTGAAATAAATAATCTATCAAATTTAGATTTTTAATCTCAAGAAATTTTTGCAACTAAAATATTAATAATAGAATAATTATTTTAGTACTTAAAATTAATACATATATAATATTAAATAGAATCTATCAACTCTACTAATCAACATTTATTCCAAAAATGATTTTCAATTTAGAAAAACTATAGAAACAAAAATATTAATAATGTAATAATTATATTAGCAATTAAAATTTTGCACTATATATATCTTAGAAATTTTAACAAAATTGATATATTTTAAATTGTAATTATAAATTATTAATTGATATTTTACTTTACATTTGAAAATTTAATAGTTGGTTAATTTTTTTGTTAATGTAAAAAAGTAAAAATAGTAAAATAGAAAATAATTGATATAATAATTAAAGTATAATATGTGCATATTTTATGTGTCTTAGACTCTTGACTGATGCATTATCTATAAAATTGTATGATATTTATGCATCCTGAGATATTAAGTGTTATATATTTTTTCATATATACCATTGAAATGTATATTTTCTATGTATTTATACATTATTTGTGGCTATTTGATTTTAAATTTAGTATTATTAATAAATTTATAAAATTTGTATGTGTTTCCCTAACGCATTCAAGCGTTTTCACATTTTTCATCCATATCCATGTATTATCAAAATGTATCTGTGTCTGTATCTATGTTGTCTAATATAATACTCGATACCAATATTTTAATCCTTGGGTAAAACCACATATGTTTGCAACTTATTACATTTTGTAAAAAGCATATTTAGCCCAAAGCACGTAGCTATAGTTTGAAACAATCTAGAATGAAGTTATGGTTTTGGTTGCATTTTTTTCTTTTCTCTCAAAAAAATATATTTTCAAAAGTGTGTTTAATCAAACTTTCACACAAAAACACTTTGTTAAAACTTATCCAAGCATTACCTTAGTTAAGCCACCCACCATTTTCAACAATTAAGTATTATCACCAAACAAAGAATTCATCCCTCAATCTCTAGGCAATAAAATAGAGAAAGGGTCATTTACTATAACACCCCCTATAGTTTAATGGATTTACTTAGACCTACCCTATAGTTTTTATTTTACTAAACATTCCCTATAATTAATGGTGGCAATTGGGCGGGTTGGGTTGGGTTTGGTTTGGGTTGAGTTTCAACCCAACCCATTTAACCCGCTAACTCGTTAATGACCCAGTTATATAAAATTAAATGGGTTGGGTTCAACCCAAACCCGCTTTAACCCAATCCAACCCACCCAAACCCATTAATCATATATTTATGTACTTAAAACAAAAA